GTGTCGGGCAGTCTTGCTGCACGCAGGGGAAAATGCTCGGCTGCGGCTCCTGGAGCATCACCTGGCTTGCGTGGGAGACGAGCGGCCCCGTGGCCACGGCCCTCTTCGCCGTCTCCTTTCCTGGGGATGGGAACACATACCGAGCCTCTCCAGCCCGGGGCGCGGTTTCGCCAGCCTCACCTGCGGGCCTCTTGCTGTCCGGGTCTGGACCGAGGCCACCTCTGCGGCTCGGACTAGCTCTGCCGCACCCTCCCGCTCGGGGCCATGCGCCTCCCAAGCGCTTCCGGAGCAGCTTTGCTTCCTCACGCTGCGGGCTCGTCCTGTCCTCGCGGGGTCCTCTTCGAGAGAGCCCCCGCCCTTTCTTCTCTTCCATTTCCTCCTTGCGTGGATGGGAGCGCTGTGCCTTCCTCCAGCCCCCTCGTCACGAGGATGTTTCGCACTGCGAATGAGGAGCAGGGGCACGTGGCCGTCCTCAGAGTGCCTGGTGCCCCGGTAGCCTTGGCTTGCCTCCCTACTCCAGCTCTGCAGTCACAGCATCCACCATCCCTGCCGTCCACTCCAGACTCACTGCCAAGCACAGGGGAAAATACTACATTTGGACGTTCAAAGTCTTCGCCTGACGGCGTGGCTAATCTCTTAACACCCACAATTTCCCCCCGTAGCCCCTTCCAATTACAGGCTCCCAGACCTGTCCAAAGCTCCACATCCACTGTCCTGACAGAAACTACCCCAGGCATCTCCACTATCGCTTCCCTTGATAATGCACCCGATCGCTTGATGGCCGCAGCTGCAGACATTTCGAATCCAGGACATTTCCCAGGCTGCATTGCATCCTGCCAGCAGGAGCTCTTACGCAACCAAGTGGACGGGAAAGAGGGTTCTGTGAAGGACCACTCCTCCGATCCAGCTACAGCAGCCCTTCAAAGGGAATTGGAATTCCTGCAAATCCCTACATCAAAGAGGACTTAAGCCAACCTCTGTCAAACTGCACTTATCCACAATCTCTGCCTTCCAAGGATCCACTGAGGGATAATCAGTTTTCCCCCACCCCCTTTCACAACGCTTCATGAAGGGTCTCAAGAACCTGAATCCTCCGGTCCGATCTGTGGTCCCAGTTGGGGCTTATCTGTGGTGTTGCCTGCCCTGGTGAAGCTGCCATTTGAGCCACTCGCCCTGCGCCTCGTCTGCTGGAAGGTCTCCTTCCAGGCGGCCGTTCCCTCCGCTCGCAGGACAAGCATGCTCCGCACGATGGAAAGAGCCTCCATATTTGACTTTTCATTAAGAAACAACGGTCCTCCGTGCTGATCCGTCCTTCCTCCCCAAAGTGCCATGCCCATTCCGTGTCAGTCAAGAAACAGCGTTTTGCCCGTCGCCATCGACAGACCTCGAAAGGGCTCCACGTGCGCTTGATGTCCGGCACGGGCTAGTCGTCTCTCGGTCCCAAACTGAGTCAGTTTGCAAAACAAGGTTGCTGCTCATCAAATGTGCGGACTACTCCCAGGGCGAACGGGCAGCCCTGGCTCCTGGCGCAGCGGGCCACGGCGACAGTTAAGTCAGCGGACCAGCCAGCCCACGCGGCCGCCCCGGGCCCATTCCACCAGGCTGCTCTTGCACTTGACCGCTCGCCCTGCCGGGCGGCCGCTGGAGGTGTTGCTGTGCGGCCAGCAGCACCCACGTCCGACCACCCCGTCGGCTCGCCGTGAGGACCAGGCAGGGCTCCTTGTTGGCCAGGCTGGGCTGCCCCCTGCTCTCCTCGTAACGGCACCTCCCACCGTCTTTAGCGGCGTGCTTGTTGGTCACCCCTGTGTGCGATGCTCTGGGGCCACGGCGGAGAAAGGCGGGTTGCGCACTTGTTACTCTCATTCTCTGAGTGCTCATCTGTGCATTCACACAACCCACCCACCAGCCCCGCGTTGGCGCACTTTTTCTCTCTCCTTTTGCTACTATTTACACAGCGATGGGACAGTTAGGGACCTACACGTCGGTCAGGCAACGATCTCCAGCTGGACTGAGAAAATTTATTTATTTATTTATTTATTTATTAATTAAAACATTTCTATGCTGCCCCATTCGCCGAAGCCTCGGGGTGGCTCACAACATAAAATAGAATACATACAAGAAATTAACAATATAAAATAAGTCGCCCTGGCAAAATGCCGGGAGCCCCCCTGTTTATACAACAGGGAAGGGGGCACAGGCTCCCCCCAAAAGTTCCCGCCCAGGCTTAGCTAGAGGACTCTTCCCGAATGTGCAGGCGCCGGCCCTCGTGCGTGAATGCACAGGTGAGCACCCGAGGAACAGCACTTGCAGGTGCGCAACCTGCCTTCCTGGATTCTGGCCCGGGCAGCTTTGCTTCTTGCCGCTTCAGGCCGTGTTCCTTCTCTTCTGCTCACTTCCACTTGGACCCTGACGGCCTTCACGGCCGCTTTGCCAGCAGCGCCAACGCCTTTGGCTCGGGGGAAGAGAACGCGAGCCTCTTCAAGCCGGCGTGGGCGCAGGTGGCCTCTGGACTGGGCAGAGCGCTTGCTGTGCCTCACGGAGAGTGGGGGCAGTCCCGGTCTCTTGAGAAGGAAGGATAACCCAACCCGCACGCCAGCGGTCGCAGTGGCTGCAGGGCAGCGGCCAGCACTCCCTTCCTGGCAAGGGGCTCCAGCGAGTGGTGGCCAGTCAGTGCCAGTTACCTGTGGCGGCGGCGTTGCTCCGGATCCCTTTCTGCTGGGCCACTGGCCCGGCTGTGGGAGACGTGGTCTCTCTCGGCCTGGGGGCCGGTCCATTTGGCTGAGAGGTGGCGGGGAAGTGATGGCGCTCATTCTCCGTGGCTTTTGCTTCCACGCGCCGTGGCGCTCTTCCGGTTGGACTGTCTGAGAGTAGGAGGCCCAGGCGGCATCTTCACTCCCGTTTAGGAGCCCAAGTCCGGAAGGTTGTGCTGGCGGACCGTGGTTCGGTTCAGCCTCTAGGAATTATCCTTGGCCTCCCACGGCTTCAGTTCTTTTGTCCACATTTATTAGCATTTGCAGGAAATCCAAGACCCTCTAATGAACTTCCTAGAATTTTATTGAGCCCCTCGGAGCCTTCATTTAAACGAGGCTTTGCTGGCAGAAGTACAGGGTCCTTCTTAGAGGAACGCCAGTCCAGGATCTGGCAAAAGGGGCGCCTGGCCCAAGGCCCCCGAGCCTGCTGTGGCCCCGAGCAGACACGCTGCTGCCCTTGCGGGGCTGCCGTGGCCGTGGAGAGCGCCGAGAGGCCTGCGTGGCAAAGGGCGGGCCTGGCTTGCAGCCTGAGCCTCGAGCGTGCGCAGCACGGGCGCCGGCATGCTAGCGGCCCCATCCTTCGGGAGGAAGAGCTTCTTAAACCCCACGCCCTGCGAGGCACCGCCTCATCTGCCTGCCTGCGCCTCGTCCGGCCGCAGGGCCCCCTCGCTCTGCCAGCATGCGGTCCCGGGGCTGCAGTGCTTCGCCGCTGCCTCAAGGAGCCCGGGCTGGTGGCCCTGCCTGGCCTGGCGTGGCCTCGCCGCGGTTAGCCACGTCTGGCGGCCTCCCGCTCGGCTTCCTGCAGCGTCGCACGTGGCCCGGCCCTGGTCTGGAAGAGCCGGTCCGGAGAAAGGCAGCCAAGCTGCTCAATGGGGGGCTGAGACACGGTTTGGCCACCTGCCCGGCTTCCGTCCCGCTTCTGGGGCCAGGCAAGGGGCGGCCTCAACTTCCAAGGCTCTGAACGGTTCTCGGGGCAGCTGCTCCTGCCCGGGGTACCCCTCCCAGACCCTCAAAGAGCCTCTCCCAGGGGTCCCCGCTAAGCAAAGTCCCACGGTGGCCGTGAGAGCGAGGCCCGTCTCAGCCTGGGCACTGGCTTGCAGAGGGCCCTTCCCAGAGAGGCTTGTGCGGGGTCTGGACTGTGCTTTTATTTTCATCCAGCTTTTCTTTCAACATATTTGGCGCTTTTAAGATGCTTTGTGCAAATTTTATTAGCTGCTCTTGGTTTTACTTCACTTTAGGATGCATGTTGGTGCCTTGTTTCTTTACGGTCTGATTTTTTATTGTAAAGTGTAAGCCCAGAAAACCTGTTGCAAGGTGGCTAATGAAAAATAAATTTAGCCTTCATGCAAGGTCGAGTGGACTTGTCGTGCCCTGTCCCACTGACCTCGAAAGAGTCTTGTGATGGCAGGCAGGCCGTGTCCTCTCCCCCAGGGGCAAAAGCGGGGCCAGACTCAGAACGGCCTTTCCTTCAATGAGCAGGCAAACCGTGCGTGGAGGCGGCTGGGGGCCTGGCTTGCTCCCGCATCACCAGAGAGCCAAGGCTCCGTGCGGATCTGCCCACAGGCATCCTCTGGTGCCGCAGGACTGCGCCGCTTGCGCTGCTCCACGTCGCGTGCCTCCCGCGGAGCAAGGCCTTGCCCGCTAGTCCGCATTTCTCGGAAACCCTCATTCGTGCGGCGGGAATGTGCTCATCGGGGCCGACGCGCATCCACGGGTCTCCCGATCTTTCCGAGCACGATGCCCGGAGAGGCTCTTGCTGCAGAGGCTGAAGGCTGCGCGGCCACATCTCGCGTGGCGGCGTGGCAGGCCTGGTGCCTTCGTACGGCTGGGGAACCAAGGCTGACTCTCGGGGAAGAACCCCACTGGCTTTCCGGGTGTGAGCTTGCGGATGCCCCGTGCTTGGACCAGCTCCTCCGAGGGAAGAGCCGTGGGCACCTGCCTCGCCCAACCCAATCAATGCCTGCCCTCTTTGCCGGACCACCAGGGGAAGAGGGCCCTTGCAGGGCCCACTGGATCCACCGAGCAGCGACCTTTGGGAAAGCCCGGTCCAGGCTCCGGGTAGCCGGGCCCTGCCGGTGTGAGCGCAGTGGGCTCCACCACATCCCTTGAGGCTGAACCGCAGCTCCTCTTCCGCCTGGCCCGGCCTGGCCCTGCCCTGCCCTGCGCTCTCCTCTCCTCTCCTCTCCGCTGCACAGACTGACCTGCGTTGTTAATACCAGTCTCTGTGTTTAATTCTTTCTAAAACAACAGAAGTCGCCGGCCAAGAAGCTGAGCCATGCCATTGGTAAATCTCTGGGCTGCGTGCCCACCAGAGAGCCCCCTCACCCCGTGTATCCAGAGGAGCCCGAGAAGCCCCTCGACCTCGCCCACATCGTGTGAGTATCGCTTTCCTCTTTGTCTGAGCATGCTGGACTCGTCCGGTGCCCCGGCCCCTCGTCAGGCAGGGGCGTCTCGTGGGCCAGGCGGGGCCCACGTTTGCCTCTCCCGTTGCTTTTGAGAGACAGTCAGAAAAGACGCGAGAAACAGACCCTTTGCGATTTCTGCGCATCGCCGCCCCAGTCGCTTCCCGGATCCCTCCGGCATGGCCAGCTCTTGTACCGGGTACTCGTCTTGCAGTCGCTCACCCCCGAATTGGCCCGGCACTTCAGCGTCCCCCCCAGGGAGTGCCTGGAGAGGACTGGCTGCTTCCCGCCCTTCCGCTCCCCTGACTGCTGCCTGTCCCGCCTGTGCTCGGCCTTGTCGCAGCCGCCCTCCCAAGGACCTGGTTCCCGCTTGGGCCTGGGCTTGGGCCGGGCATCGGCCCTGCTCTGGCTGACCGAACTGAGGAGGTGCCTGGGACACAGGCAAGGATTCCCTGGCTTTCAGAGCGGGATGCGGAAACGCGAGGAGGAAGCCGGAGCACGGAGCGGTGCCTCCGTGCACACACGGCGCGTCTCTCGGTCTGCGGGGCAGGCTGCTTCGCGGGCCGTCTGGGCTGCCTGTGGGAGAAGCCACTTCCCCGCTGTTGCCGTTTTCTGGGCCAACATGAAGTGCAGAGGAGTCCCCCTCGCGTTCCCGTGTGGTGCATGCACTGGGCTGGCCAGCTCCGTTACGGCCCCTCCTGGCCGGCCGTGCTCGCCCAGCAGCCCGCTCCTGAGAGGCACCTGCCCACGTGTGCCCCCTCCAGAACCGGCAGCAGCCTCGGGCCGGGCCGGGCCAGCGCTCGCACGCAGGCCGCTTGCAGGCTTCGCCAACGAGCGGGTCTGCGCCCTTCGCGCGGGGACAGTGGCGCTTGCAGACTATGTGGCGAGCCCCTCTGGCCTGAGCCCAGATGTTAGGCGTGGACGTCAGCAAAGACTCGCGGCTGGGTGGTGGTCGTCCCGCCAGTTCAGGCTGCTTGAAGGAACGGCTGCTGCCTGAGGCGCCCGGAGCACCGCCTGGTCGCGTTTTCTTGGATGAGTCACGGCCGGGGCCGCCTGAGGATGCTGACGAGATGTTTGGACATGTGCCTGCCGTCGCCTCCGCACTGGAGCCCCGTCCGTTCCGGCCGATAAATGCAGCCACATGCACCGCAGGGAAGATCGGTGCCCCCTGGCAAGAGGGGCCGGTCCCTCGAGAGCCAGGGAGAACAGGAGGGCCGCTCCCAGGGCGGGACCATTTGGCCCGAAGGCGCCGGGATCTTCCGGGGCACGGCCCTTGAGCGGGGCGGGGGGGCAGCCAGCCCTCGGGTGCGACGGACAGCGGGCCCTGTTCATTTGGCGCTCGGTCTGGGTCTTGGCGCGGAATCTGCCTTGGCCGCCCTGTGTGAGGGTCTGTGTGGGGGGCGGCGCTGGCGGTGTGGCCCGGCTGGTGCTCCTGGCCGGCTCCGCGAGGAGGCGCTTGGAGGATTCTGCCCTCCTCTCTGGGCCTCGCAGTACCGTGTTCCCCAGGGGTTCGCTTGTCCCCCAGGCTGCGTCGCGTCTACCCGCCGAGCAGGGTCGCCCGGAGACTTGGAGCGTGTTCTTAGCAGGCTGCTGATGCCCCGCAGCTCTGTGTCCTGCGCCAGGTGGGGCTGGTGGCTGGGGACATGCTGAGCCCGCGCCTGGCGTGGCAGTGAGAGCCGAAGCGCAGTGCAGGCCGGGCTGGGATGCCGCCGCAGGCCATTCTCCTGGCCAGCCGGGCCAGTTCTGGGTGGCGCCGCTCTCCCCTTGCAGGAGCAGGTTCAGAGTTTAGGCGCCCCCCTCGATCTGCCCCGTCAGCTGAGGCTCCGGGGGCCCCAGTGGCCTGCGGTGCCCCTGCCTGGGCAGGGCAGCCTGGATGCAGAGGCCCGTCTTCTGGTGAGCTCCGGATCAGAGCACTGCCCTGCACGGTGTGGGAGCTGCCCCTGAAGGCTGTTAGGAGCTGCATCTTGGGCAAGTGCTGCCTCCAGATTAACAGCAGGGAGCAGAAGGCCCGCGCATGCAAGACCAGTTCTCGCCCGGGCTGCCTGGGCACTTCTGGGCCCGACTCAAGGGGCCGCTTCAGCCTATAGCGCCCGAGACCACGCGAGGCCCCAGTGCCTGACCAAATGCCCCCCCCACCAGCCGCCTCAGAGGCCTTCCGCCAGCTGCCACCTCCAGGGAAGGCCTGGAAGGCGGCCACGAGGAGCGGGGCCTTCTCCGTGGTGGCCCCCAACTCTGGAATGATCACAGGCCCATCTCTTCCTTGCCACCTTAAAATGGCCCTCACCTCCCAGGCGTTGAAAAGCACGTGATGGGATATATCGGTTCTTTAGAGGTCTGGGTTTTATTGGCATCATTTTACTCGTTGAAACTGTTTAGCATTTGCATCCTGGAATGCTACACTATATTTTATTATGGTTGTCATTTCAGTGTGTCCTTTCTATTATTATAGCCATGCATATGAATTGTTGTGGTTTGCCCAGAGTTTCCCACTATCGGTGGTATAAAGATGATGGTGGTGGTGGTGGCGACGATGAGGAGGAGCGGGGGGGAGGAAGTCGTGGGCTCTCCTCCGCTGGAGACATGCAGAAAGCGACGGGGCAGCCGCCTGAGCGGGACGGTGCCCCTGGGAGCCCCGCGCTGGGCAGGGGCAGGGGCCGGGCCCGACGGCCCTCGCGGCTCTTCTGTGAGGCTCTGTGGGTCGTATGGCAGTGGCGACTGGCGCCAGCGCCGCAGCGTCTCCTCCGAATTCATCTTCCCTTGAGCATCTGGGGCCACGGGGCCGCGGCAGCCTCCTGCCCTTGGTCCACGGAGCCTGGGCGGCTGGCTCGGCCCCCGCGCACGAGGGGCTGCTCAGTGGGGGCGGCGGTGGGGAGTCCCAGGGGCGGTCGAGGCCGCCCGGTTGGAGACGGCAGCCGTGGCCCTGCTGCCCGTGGCTGAGCGCCCCGCCTGGGGAGCCCTCGCCTCGCGCCGGCAGCGACGCGTCTGCTAGCAGTGCCCCCGCTGGCCGGGGAGGCGCGTGAGGGAGGCCCGAGCAGGCGGGGGGCGGCTTGCCTGACCTGCCTTGGCGTGCGGCTCCTCGCGAGTCAGGCGGGAGCATTTGGAAACGCAGGAAGCCCTGGCCTGGGGGGCTTTGCGCCCACTTGCTGGGGAGTGAATCCCGCAGGGCGCACGGGAAGGGGGCAGGCGTGGGGTCCCTCCGTGGGTATTTCTTGCCCTTGGCTCATCCCGCCCTGCGACTTACGAGTAGCCTGGGATCTGAGCCGCTGTTCTGCTGCCTTGCCGTTAAGGATCGCGTGCGCCCTGCACCTGGTGCTTTGTCCGTAAGGCTCTTGCCCGCCCTCTCGGGGAGCTCCAGACCTGTGTTAACCACGTGAACGTGGGCTCTGCAGACACCGGAAGGGCGCTTCAGGGAAAGGATCCAGGCAGGAAGAGTTCCGCTTCCCCCAGTCGCTTCCCAAAGGAGCATCAGGCTAACGGCCCTACATTACTTTTTTTTATTATTATTATTATTATTTTTATTTATTTATTTATTTATTTATTTATTTATTTATTTATTTATTTATTTATTTATTTTCGATTTGTATCCTGCCTTTTTCCTACAAAGGGCTCAAGGCAGCTTACGTCATTCTGCTCCTCCATCTTATCCCCACAGCAACAGCCCTGTGAGGTAGGCTGGGCTGAGAGCCTGTGACTGGCCCAGAGTCACCCAGTTGGCTCCATGGCCGAGCGGGGACTCGAACCCGGATCGCCTGAGTCCCGGTCCCATGCTCTCAACCGCTACGCCACCCTGGCTCTCAGGGGCTGCAGCCGTTCCCCTTTCTGATCAGGGCGGACGCTCGACGGCCCTCCAGCCGCTTTGGCCTGTAGTCCCCGCGGCTGCAGGCGGCGCAGCCAGTGGTGGCGGGCGGTGGGGCTGTGGGCCCGAACAGCCGCCTGCGCTTGTTCTGGGGAAACCCCGCTGCTCTTCCGGAGCAAGTCCGTTGCGCTGCCTTTGGTGGGCCCGGACGGCCTCGCGCTCTGCTGCAGCTTCCCGTGTGAGGAGCGCGAGCAAGCCCCTGGCCAGCCAAGCCCTGCCCGTCAGCACGGGCGGGCAGCAGCTCTCCGGCGGGCAGCTCTGAGCCGGGACCTTCCGGGTACCAGGCAGGGGCTGGACCGCGTCGCTGCAGCCTCCCCCTCTGTCTGGATTGAAGCATCTCGGCGATGATGGTCCCACAGGGAGGGAAGTGGGTCCCCCCCTCCCCGAGCAAGAGGGCATTGCCCAAGCTGGATGGCGGTGGCTCCGTTTCTGTCAGCCAGCCATTTTGGGAGGATTAAGCCCCCCACAGAGCCTGCTTGGCATGCAGCCCCTTCCGCGGAGAGAAGCCCCACGGAGATGAATGCGACGGGCCGGTCGGAGCGCACGTGACTGCAGCCCGAGCTCGACAGTGAGCCCCACGGGGCCAGGCACGGGAGGCAAGGGGACCGTTTCAGCGCAGAGAAAATCGTTTTGTGATTAAAATGGCTACGGAAAAGTAATTATTGCTTGTCGTAATTTGGCACGACATTACACACATTATTAAATCCTAGATTTTACCAGCTTCATCTCTTAAATACAGTATTCCTTCCCTCCTGGTTGTTGCTTTATTTAAAATCTTCAAACATTAATTCTGTAAAGGGTAGAAAGAGAGAGAGCGAGAGGAGCCTGTTTAAAATTCAAAATTAAAGCTATTTTCCAAATTGCCGTCATTCCCAGCCTAGGTGCTGTTTGTAGTGGAAATGTGGAAAAGCAATTAGCGCGCAAACAAATGCTTTTCTTCTGATGTAGCTCGCCGTTCCAGCGGACGGGCGCTCGGCTCCAAGGGCCTTTGTGCAGTGGGCACGAGGCAAGGCGGGCGGTGGCGGAGGGCTGCGCGGGAGCCTCCCTCGCCTCGCCGTGCCAGCCCGTCCCTGCCAGGGAACGCGGCTGCGCCTCGCCTCGCCTCGCCTCATCTCGT